GAGGCAAATAGAAAAAGAGCATGAAGCAATGGACACAAGTTGCAGCAGGGGAAATTCTGTTTAGATACAAGAAAAAATTCTTCCTCTGAAATGGTGCAGCAGTGGGACAGCTGCCCAGAGAGGCCATAGGACCTCATCCTGGAGATGTCTAAACACAAATGGACAAGGTCCTCAGCAAGCTGATCTAGCTTTGAAGTTCCTTTCTTTGAGTTGGGGATTATAGTATATGATTTTTCTGGAGGTCCCTTCAGACTTTTCTTCCCTATGATTCTGTTGTATTAATAGACATACGTTGAGAACTGCATTTAAAACTCGTTCCGCATTAGTGGAATGTAGTTGAAAGCTCAGAGGTTTGGTGGGGTAAAACAGAAGTTCTTCAGTTTTGCAACCATTCCAGCTCATATTACTAGCAGTTGCTGTCAAATGATGGTAAGAAGGGATGGATATATTAAGAAATGAGGTTATGGGAGATGGAAAGGATGTTGGGGACTGGTCTAATTTCCCTGAAACAGGAGCCCATGTTTCAATTATTTGGGAAACAGTTGCAACAAAAGATTTGAATTCAGGTACTTTTGCCTAACTTGTCATGATATGTTTCCTAGCATTTGTCGACGTGGCACCTGGATCTGCAGCAACGGGGAATGCCCAGGTATGTTGGCTGTACTCTTTTCAGGTTTTGACAAGTAAGCCTTACCTACATCCCTCCCGCTTACATCCTACTTCTATTTTTTCCACACAAAAAGTGAATCTGTCTTTGTGCTTACTTGCTTGCTCCAGTGCAATCCAGATGGGATCATACTTCTAAGTTCTTCTTGCAAGACAAGCCAAACATTGTGCTATATCGTTTATGTGTAGCAATGAAAAATCCTGTTTGGTGAGAAGAATGGTTCCTCTTTTTGACTACTTAGTTTACCAAGATATAAGTGGCTGTACGTTCAGATGATTGGCTTTCAGGTAGAGGAACACTGCTGGGTTTCTTTGAGCAGGTACCGTTCCCGATTTGATTGTCTGAATCGGCATACTTTTGTTGATGGGACAATTTGAAGTACTGGGAGTAGATTGGATCACTTTTAATACCCCATGGGTTTGGGCCCTAATGGTCATGTTACAGGTGAAGTTGCTACAGCCCCAGGGAGAAGGTGACCGTCCTGCCTTCCATGGGTGGTGGCAGACTGGAGAGGCAGCTCTGCAGGCGTTCGTGCTCCCCTTCCTACTACTCTGCCTCCCAAACTCACCGGTACTGGTGGCTGCTGCCCCAGTTTTTTGCCTACATGGGGAATGTGACTTTTCATGCTGTGCATTGGCCAGCAAAGTGCCACCTTCCTTATTTCCTCCTGCTAGTTCTGTGGCCCATCCCCTGTCTCAGTTCCTGCATTATGTTCAGCCATGGAAAGCCCTGCTTGACCTGAAACAACATTTGACGCTGCTTGCGTTGTGCATAGAAGTGTGCAGGGAAACAGCACAGCTCTTTACCTTGTTTGCTGTCCTTGCTTTTGGGAACTGAGAGTGGAAGGGATGAGAAGGAGACTGGGGGGTTATGGCAGGGGAGGAGGAGAGCAGGTTTTTTGGTTTGGTGTTTTTTGTTTGTTTTGGGTTTTCAGATGAGACTGTGCGATCCTCACAAATTAGGAGAATTACAACAGTCTTAAAATGGCTATCAGCAAGTCTGTCTTTCTATTAAGGTTAAGCTTGCCTGACCCATCAATGGTCCATTTCCTCCTGCGTTAGACTGAAAGAGCACTTGCGGCAAAGTGTCAGCAGTAAAAAAAAAAGGGGGGGGCGGAGGGTATGCAAATGTTCAAAACAGAGATGACATTTTGAGTGAGCTGTGCCAAGCAGGACTGTGAGAAGCCCCAAGCTTGACGTGTTCACTAGAGATCTCTCCAAGTGCAGGGAATCTCACTGTCTAAAATGCAGAATCAGGGACACAGCCCCAGCTGATTTATTATGTCTTTTAGCTAAGGGGCAGCAACGTGTTTACAAACAAGAAATGGGTCTTTTTCTAACTACAGTTTTTACCTCTGTTATAGTTCTTAATGTCGTTGCTTTCTGGGCTACTATGAATACTACATGGGACACATTTTTATCGTCAACTCCAGCCATGTTTTCTTCATAGTGATTATAGAAATGAAGATAAGCCTGGTACTGAGGCTTGCAAACAGATGTTGATATACAGATTTGTGCAAGAGGGAATATAGCATTGCTGTCTTTTTCTGAGTTGGGAAGCTGTGCCAAATGAGCAGAAGTCAAAAAGAAAGCCAGCATTTTTGTACCTTCTGCCAATATATCCAAGTCACTTTTCAGCTAGGCTTGTGCAAGACTGAAGGTTGTGTAAGTGCATCTGTTGTACCTGTACCTGCTAACATCTACAAACTGTGCTGAGACAGTATGGGAGGGCAGCAAAGCCTCCCAAAGTAGCGGTCCTTGTAGGAACAGTAGCCAAGTTTATATTGTTACCTGTCCTGTTTTGTCTCTATTTGAAAAAATATTGCAGCATATTTTTATTGTTCATTGGTTATTTTTGCAACAAATATTTCTAAAATCATGTGTCTCAGAAAGTTTATGTACTTAGACTTGCATAAGCTCAAGGTAGTTCCATTATTTTTTTACCAACCTATTTGTCAGGAAAGGTTTCTTTTATATTGTGGGAATTAATTGCCTAGCTGTATGTTTGGTGATAAAGCTGGGTACCCAGCTGGAGGTAGCACTTCAGAAGGCAGTGCTGTGTTGGCCAACTAGCAATAGCTGGCTAGCTCTAGCAAGAAGCTCTCAAGCTGATATCATAATTAAATTAATTATGAAGGCAGCAGGTTTCAGGAAATCTCATGGGATGCATTACACCAAATGGAGTAGATAGAGGACCCATAAGAAGAGACTTTGCCGCAGAGAAGAAATTTCCCTTCCAGGAGTAATGCCAAAGGGCTGGGACTTGTCTTAGGTAGCAGTCCCTAGCTCTCCATGCTGCAAACCTGTCCCCTTGGTTCCTAGTTGCAGAGAACGCTCTGGAAATCAAACTGCGCGTAATATGGTGGGTTATGCGTAGTTTTCTTTAAATCTGTTCTCCACATCTGATAGCCAGTTAATTGACTCTGAAGTTGAGTAGAATAACAATTGTTTTACCTTTGCCCAAGTTTAATTGAACAGAAAGTAGGATTTCCAGGGTGAGCATGTAAAAACCAAGCCATCTTACTCTCCAGGGGATGACAAGCATCCAGCGGGTGCTGGACTTTGCTTAGGGCAAATCAGAGCTGTGGAAGGGTGAGAATCCTCGGGATCTGTGAGGTTGTGCTTTATGGCAGGCTGGTTTTAAGACAGTTAACACTGAATAATATGTTGAAGAGAGAAATTTCCACTTGATGTCCATTAGACAGATCTTATGTGGGACTCAAAGGCAGTGAAGAGAGAATAACTGATGGGGTTCACCTGCCAGCTTGTAACATTTAACCTTTGTCCATTGTTTGTCAGTGGATTGCCAGTGTAGGCCCAGCACCTGAATTTCGTTCTGGACAAGGAGGTCTCTGCCCACCTTGTTTGCCGTGGGACCATCTCCAAGTGTGATAGTCGTCTTATATGAAAGAATTTCTTTGCAAGCTCTGTGGAGTTGGAGCCTCCCTATGTGTTTGCAGAGGCCCTAGCATAACAGGGTACTAAATCCCAGTTGTGGCATTTGAATACTGCCTTCCTGGAAATTAAAAGCCACAACTTACCAAAACATTTTAAGATGTTGATATGTTTAAATAGCCTCTTTTTGTAGTGGAAAGGTGGGCAAGCCATACTTTCACATTATTCTATAAAGACTTAAGATGTAGCTATTGTAACTATAGAATTATTCTTGATTTTATGGTAGTTAATTACGATAATGGTTCAGAGTAAAGTCCAGCATAAATTCTGCCCTTGGAAGAACTCCCAACAGTATTATCTTCCAACTCTTTGTTCTGATAAGGTATTTTTACTTTAATGTGAGAACAACTTATTGGTATTCAAGGGAGCCCAACAAAGGAATCAACACTTTTTGGGGGCTGCGTTCAAGGAGGCCATTGTGAAGAAGAATTTCAGACACTGTTGCCTTCATAAAACCATACTGCAGTGCTCTAAAAACACCAGTAGCGAGACAAAGGGGAGGCTCACAATCTGCCAAGACACAACTGTGAAACACAGACTGAGAATGAGGCACCTCTGCAGAACAAGAGCAGAGCAGCAGTGAGAGTCCAACAGTGAGAGTCTTGTTGTAAATTTTGATTTTTGACTCTATAAAAACCCCTGCATTCTGCAGCCAGCTCTATGGATGCAAATGTGCCCCACTGGGCTAAGTAAAAGTGGATTTAAAGTGTGTTATGTGAAGATGTTGCAAGCTCCTGCATAGCGGTAAAGAGGCAACATGTCCCAGTATATGGAATGTGTGACTAATGCTGGGTAATCCTGAGCGTTCTTCCTAGCTCTGCCAGTCTTGGGCTTTAGTACTTCCACTCTCTGTGCCTCAGTTTCCCCATTGTATATAGAGAAAAACTTAGTCCTACATGAAAGAGAGTGTGGGTTGCTGTTTAAAAGTGGTTAGTGCCACCAGCACCCATAACTTAGGTACAACCTAGCCTGCGGAGAGCTTGAGTGACTGCACTGAATTTCCAGGGCCACTGAGGTATATACTACAGAAGAATCAAATCCACTTCAGTGCAGAGAGCTGAGCTGTTCGCTGATGTCCTCATGACCCTCCATCTGAAAGATTATATAGGCTTTTCTGTAGGCATGAATTTCAGCTCCTGAGTGCGATTTATACCATATTCCCCAGCTTTTGTCGGTGCTTCTGTTACTACTGGTAGTGACTTACAGGAATAAACAGTGAGATAAGCATCTCGCCAGTGCTTTCTGGTCTGTAGGGAACTTGGGCCTTGTGCAACCTGCTCCACTGGGTTGCTCTTCCGCCTCAGTGGCCTGGGCAGGGATGAGCAGGATTTTGCTTCCAACTGGCACTGGGGTCATTAATGGCTCTCTGCATTTTTCAGGAGAATGCTCTGTCAGCGGCCAGTCCCATTTCAAAAGCTTTGACAACAAATATTTCACCTTCAGCGGGATTTGTCAGTACTTATTTGCCAAGGACTGCGTGGAAAATTCCTTTTCTGTGATCATCGAGACCGTGCAGGTAACAGCAGCCTTGGCTGGCGCCAGCGTGCCTCTGCGCATGCTCCTGAGAGAGCGGGAAGGGCTGTGGGAGTATGATATGAATTGCAGATGCACAGGCCAACAAAAGGAATTTTCCTATGAAACAATTAGTTTAAATAACAGATGCAGTCTTTCTCCTTAGTTAATAAGTGTTTTGCTTCTCCTTGCTGCCATTCCCAGGAGCCCACCTTCAAGACTGAAATTCGTAATGAGATTTGGAGAAGGAGCCCTCACCCCCTCTTTGCCAGCTGAACAAACAAATGCAGATGAGGGTGTGCCCCTTGCAAAGCACCCTGAAGGCCAGTGCCTTGCTAATGGCCCGGGAAAAGACATTTGCTCAGAGGCAGAGTAGGGTGCGCTGGCAGCCTAGTACCTTGGGTTGCTTGCCATTAAGTCATATTGGCTGGTGATTGCTGTTGCTCACTCGCTGGTCAGCGTCTCCTGACTTTGCTGCCTCCCCTGATGGATGTGAGAGAGGCAGCTGGAGGTCAGTGAGCAGAGGCGGCTGGAGAGAGGCAGGAATGGGAGCCAGGCCAGCGCAGGCAGGGAAGGAGACCCTGGAGGGGGTGTCACAGAGAGGTTAACACAGTCATGAAATTAATCGACCAGTTGTGCATGAGAAGAGGTGAACTAACCTGGAGGCTGAAATGGGTACTGAATCAAGCAGAGGGGAAGAAGGGGGGCGGGGACAGAGGAACTGACGGCAGGGAGAGGTACGATGGAGTCAGGAGGCTGACGGAGTGAAGGGGCGCCTTGCAGGACACAAACCACAGAGAAGACACGGGCTTCGGAGAGACGGGGTGTGACAGTTGTGCGAACTGTCTGCGTCTGTATCTTGCATTAGAAGGCTCTGATAATGCAGCTGTGAGGTCATCTGTGCTTGGGAACTTGCAGCATGGGTTTCCACTGAAACTTCCCTTTCGAAACCAGGGAGGAGACCTAGGGGCCTGCAATCCCTGTTCCTCATCTGCGTAACCCACAGCCGGCGAAAAGAAATAGCATGAGAGTCTTGGGCAGTGTGAACTGCGCATCCATTTCCCAGCCTCGATGGCTGTGGGGGTCTGGTGTAATGCCCACGGATTGCTTTCCAGGCTCTGTGACAAAGGAGCTGCAGATAGCTCCCTGGTGCGTGATTAACAAGATAATGGAAGAAAAGCTGCCAGCCTGCTGTTTGTGGGATGCAGAAACTAGATCCATAAAACCATCGGGACACTTAACACCTCCCGAATTAGATGCCGAAGTGTCTTTTGGGAGCCTGGGGCTAAGTCACCAATAAAGTAAAAGCTTGATGTTTGAGGCAAATTTTCCCTTCTCTGTAGTGTGCAGATGATCCTGATGCCGTGTGCACTCGCTCAGCGTCTGTCCGAATCCGGGATATGGACAACAGCCTCATTAAAATGAAACATGGAGGAGGAGTTTCACTGAACGGACAAGATATACAGATCCCTTTGATACAAGGTGTGTTTGCATGGTCTAACTCTGGCTGGCCACTGAAGGGGTCCTACTTAGTAGTGTTTTCTGGCACGCCTTAGCCCAGTTCAATCAAAAAATGTTTTCAATACCAAATTATCACTTGCAGCCTTTTCTAGAAGCTCTGTCATTCCAGCATCCCTCCATGCAGCTGACACGTCTTGGCTTAGCTCCTCTAAAATCAGGAGAAGTAAGCTGGTTTGGATTTGAGAGATGTGATCTTGAAAACCACTGTTGGTTGGTCTATGCTTTTTAAAATTATTTTTTATCCAGAAGCTTGAAATCCCTGAAGTTATCTTGCAAAATGTCACAGTTAATGCCCAAGGTTTTGCAGAATGCACATATATCCTTTTTTAGGGCTCCTGAGTGCCTTAAAGCAGAGCCTGTGGAGAAGTTCATGCAGCTATAAACTGCTGAGCAGGCACAAAGCTTGGGAAGTGTGAAGTGGGCATTGCTGGCACCCCTTGCTTTGGCAGACCTGCGTGCCCCCTGCTCTGTGGCACCCACTCTGTTGGCCTGCTCAGCACGACACAGTAGTCCCGGGCAATGAAAAACCACATCATGCCTTGACTGACTGACACTTTGTGGTTGTCTTAAGGTGCCCTCCGTATCCAGCGCACAGTGAGGACTTCAGTTCGCCTTACCTATGGGGAAGATTTGCAGATTGACTGGGACGGTCATGGTGAACTCCTAGTGAAGGTACTCTTTCTTTCTGTCTCTTTTATTTCTGCCTTTTTTCTCCCTCTCTCATCCCACCCAAATGTGTACAAAGATTTTCTTGTCTGAAGTGAGAAATTGCTTTGTGTTGCATGTTAGAAATTCCATTCTCTTTTGCTACCCCCGGAGTAATATACAGGTCCTTTTGTATTCCTGAAACAAACATTTTCATCCTACAGCAGCTTGGTAGCTTTTTTTCCCCTTCTCTTTTTTGTGCAATGACAGCCTTTATTAACCATGAATAGTTTTGTCTTTTGTTCAGCAGATACCCTCCAAACTGGATTTTTGCTTTCATTTGCTTTGACTGTCCTGTCTATAGCAATGGATTCAGATGACTTAAAATAAGGGAAGAATATGGCTCCAGGGACACAGTTACTCATAATTTCCAGGAAAAATCAATTAACTCATACAAGATATGTTGCATGCTCCTTCAACTATGAGGAGTGTTTAAAGTCACCCTTGATTAACAATTAAGGTTTGTCTGTGCTGCAGACTGCAGCGGAGTGTAGAAATACCCAAATCAGGTTTAAAAGAAATGAGCTGTAAGAAAAGCAGTCTAGCTGCAACAACAGAAAGCTTTACATAAACCACTTTTTTGTGTGCGTGTGTTGTACGCTGCAGTATGAGTTGCAGCACAGAAAAGCCTGTGAGGGAAGTGGAGAAGATTATTTGCTGTGGAATAGTCTCCTGATGGCTGATAAACCATCACAGCTTCTCCAGCTAAGCTGTCTCCCTCCCTCTTTGCTCATACAAGAGGCTTTTCTCATTTGATCAGTGGCTCTCAGGGACTGTGAGTGTTGTCCCTGAGGTGTATTCACTCCCTCGGGGGTGTGAGTTCACCTGTAGCGTTGCTTCCTGGTGTGGTGATGATCTGCAGGCTATGGGAGCCGTCAGGGTGATGCGCTTCTGCGTGATGCTGGGTGGCTGCGGACCTGCGTGCTCCTGCCGTGTTTGCGTGGATGGGTGCCTAACCACAGCCCTGCTGCCTTTGAGCCCCCCTTGTAGCAGGGGCTCTGCAGCTGGCCCCCATGTGGGGTGGGTTTGCTCACCGAAAAGAGTTTTGCCAAGAGAGCCTATTTTCCTGGGATACTGTTTCTACCAAGCAGTGAGCACTGCTGTGTCTGAACCATGGCATTGCTTTTGCACTCTCCTCACCTGCCCCAAAATCTGGCTTAAATGTCACATTTGGCACAGTGTAAGGATTCATGAAAGCTAGTTCAGTTCAGAAGTGAGTGCAAGAGTTGAAAAGACGACAGAGAAGAAAGGTCGAGAATAACTTTAGAAAGTATCTGTGGTTTTGTTGCTGTTGTTTTGATCTAGCCTGTATGTCTTGTGCTCCAAGGGTCCTAGAGGTTGTTTTTGGGCTGAGAATAATTCAATTCAGTCCCTTGGCACATCTCAGAAGTTTTGGCTCTCCTCAGTATTCACAGTATTTTTCTGCCTGGTCAGAGACTGGTATAGCCTGGCAAATTCTTTATTACAGTTGAAACAAATCTAATTTTCTGCTCCAGATCCTCCACCCATAAAAGCAGCGGAAGTTTCTCCAATCGTCTGCATTTATTCGGTTCTGCTCCAAGCTCCTTCCCTTGCTGGGTATCTACAGCATCTTTTTAATTGCTTTTGGAGAGTTAATTTATACTGGATTTGTAGACTGACCTGTTGCCAAGTATTTCTGACAATTGGGGGAAGTGATACACTTCCATTACCTTGGCCGGACTTCTGGTAAAAATTCTTTCTATGTTCTTCAAGAAGGCTCCCCTTTCTTGACCACTTGATATTTCTGATTCGAGCTTCCACTCAAAAATATGTTAGAACTTTGATTTGTATGAGTCATTGTCTGTCTGCAGAGTACGTGAAAAAGTAGCTTCCTTGGCCATCAGAGTAGTAAGGATATGTATCCTCTAATAATTCATGGTTGTTCTTTTTGATGCTCCATAGTTACTCTCTGACCACTGTGTTCAAAGCGAGGGTTGTATCAGGTTATATTTTAGTGAATGTTTTTAATTATACAGAAAACCATTTTTCTTAAAAAATGTGTTTTTCTAGCTTATTTGGTTCTGTTTCACTGGTTACTCTTGCCAACCTGACTAAAGTAGCACTCTAGTAAATGCATACAGAGAGCAGCTGTAGCATTAGAGCACTGAGTTAGTTCCCAAGGACAGTTGGTAGTACTTGTGATGTATCAGATCTTTACTTCTAATAGAAACTGGCAGTTCCTACTAGAATAAAAGATACTGGTGCCTTTGTGTTGCAGATGTGGTTTAGAAGTTCCCCCTGTTTACCTCTAAGTTTCAGGGTCCCCTTTCAGATGTCCCTTAATTTGCAGTAAGAATAAGGCAGGGTGAAAAGTACACCTGCTATGTGGGTTGTTTGCAATGCTGCTTTTAGTGCATCATAAATTTCTCTAGGCAAGAGGAAGCTCTAATGAGGTAATGTAGCTTTAGGGGTAGTAGTCTCTTCCTTATTTTATTAATGTTCTTTAAGGTTGAGGGAAACAACTCTTCCAACATCGTCTCTGTTTTGTGACAAAACAATCTTATTAAATTGTCTTAATCTTCAAATTTTCTTTTAAAATGTGAAATGGTTTCAGGTGCCCTATCTTTTCCCAAAGTACCATGGGAAATACAATCATCTCACTGTATTAAACAATGCAACTCCCACTGTTGTCCTGTTCATTTATATGAATGAAGGGGAAAAATAGGGGAAGACTAAACTGGAGTGCTGATCAGGGCACAGAAGTAAGCCATTTTTCTTCTAGTCACCTTCAGTTACCACCTGAAATTATCACTGTACCGTGTAAAAATTGTCTTGCTGCTACTAATGATCGCATTACTGTTAGAAGTTTGAAAATGTAGTGCAATGAAATTGTGTCTTTAGTATTTTAATGTGTATTTGAGAATTTCCTTGATTGTTAAATTGTGTATGGTTCATTCTTTAGAAAATCTTGCTATACAGTGGTGACCTATTCTGAAGGATGACCAGGCTAATGTTTTGTTCCTTAGCTGTCTCCAGTCTATTCTGAAAGGATGTGTGGACTCTGTGGAAACTACAATGGTAACCAAGGGGACGATTTTCTTACACCTTCTGGCATGGTGGAAGCTCTTCTGGAAGATTTTGGAAATTCCTGGAAGCTCAATGCAGACTGCCAAGACTTGTCAAAACAAGATAGTGACCCCTGCAATCTCAATCCTCGTTTAGGTACTGAACTCCATCCAAAATTAACATGTACAGGAAACTGTGATCTTCCATTTTACATAGCAATAAAAAATAAAAATAAAGACAAAGAGAAGAAGCTAGTGTTGCTTACAGTATCAGGGTGTGGCTGTTATCCCTGTTTAAAAAAAAACAAAACGCCAACAAAAAACCAAACAAACAGAGAGACACTGATTGATGCAGGCTTCCTGATGAAAATGTAATGTTTTGTGAAAATTGAAACCAAAAGTCAGTAATGTGGGATCATGCTGCTGTTCAGTTTGGACCACACAGAGTTAGACCATCACAGCCACTGAAACTACTCTTACAAGTGACAGCAATACTATGTTTATCCTCTGGGTGGACAAAACACCTGTCATCTTCACCCCTCTGTCCTTACACCTTATACACTCTTCCTGATCCCTTGTGTCCCTTCTTCTACTGCATCCCAACAGACAGCCTTCCTCTTT